CATGATGATTTTATATATATGTGTGTGTGTGTGTGTGTGTGTATACACATTGTGAAATGATTCTCCCATCTAGTAAACACATCCATCATCTCACACATATTTATCTTATTTTTTCTCTCAGTGAGAACATTTAAATTCAACTCTTCTAAAAAATTTCAATTATACAATAGAGTGTTATTAATTATAGTCATAGTGTTATACAATTAGATCCTCAGAACTTGTTGACCTTATAATTGAAACTTCTACCCTTTATACCAAACTTTTCCTGTTTCCACTGCCACCCTGCCCCTGGCAACTGCTTTTTCTACTCTCTGTTTCTATGAGTTCTTTTTTTTTCCTTTAGATTTTACATGTACATGATACCATGCACTAGTTGTCTTTCTCAGTCTGGCTTATTTTACCTAGCACAATGCGCTCCAAGTCCATCCGTACTGTTGCAAATGGCAAGCTTCCCTTCTTTTTTATGGCTGAATTGTGTGTGTGTGTATGGGGGGGGTGGGTGGGTATGGGTGTGTGTGCGCACGCATGCGCACGAGCGCTAAGTCTCTTCAGTCATGTCTCACTCTGCGCAACCCTATGGACTGCCGCCCGCCAGGCTCCTCTGTCCATGGGGATTCTCCAGGCCAGAACTCTGGAGTGGGTTGCCTTGTTCTCCTCCAGGGGATTTTCCTGACCCAGGAATTGAACCTGGGTCTCCTGCATTGCAGGCGGATTCTTTACCACTGAGCCACCAGGGAAGCCCCAGCTGAATAAAATTTCATTGTATGTATCTTCCACATCTTTATCTATTCATCCACTGACAAGACACGTAGGTTGTTCCCATATCTTGGCTATTGTGAACAATGCATCAGTGAACATGGGTGTACAGCTATCTCTTTGAAAAGAAAGAGCTTCTCAAAGTCAGAATTAGTTCTCGGTACTTTCCCACTCATGCCCTCTACTCCACCTTATCATATGTTTTATTGTTTGAGCTGCCATGTGCTGTTTTACAGAAAACTTTCTTCACTTCTTATTCCTATGCTTGCATTAATTTTTTTTTTTTTTTTGCCTTTTAGTTTCTTTTACATGGACTTGGTCCTCGATAGAATTTTGACTTGGCTACAGATTAAACATTTTATAGAAAACTCTGAATAAGTGGTCTTACGTGGCCAGAAGCTAGGAAAATATCCACTAGCCTCCAGAGTTTTGTGAGCAACTCTGGGGCTTCCTGTGACTGATGTTATGGTTTTAGAATTTCAGGAACAGCTGCGACTGATCAGTCTTCCTTGAAATACTTGTGTTTGATGCAATTTCATTTCACATTATGTGTGTGACTTTCCCAAGTTGAGGTGTGAAATTCAAGCATCAGAGAAATCAGCAGGGCTTTCAAGTTGAAGTTAATAAAACACTCAACATGAACCTATGTAGTTCAGATTAATAAAATAAAATGTATGGGTGTGAGAGCCTAACCTCCCTCATCCATAAGATAGCACCTTACAAATCTCTTTCCTGGGGTCCAGTGGGTTTCTTCCACTCCACCCCCCTCCTTGGTGGCTCAGATGATAAAGAATCTGTCTGCAATGTGGGAGATCCGGGTTCAATCCCTGGGTTAGAAAGATCCCCTGCAGAAGGGAAGTGGGTATCTAGGTCACTGGACCAAGAGAGATGAAGAATCTACTTTGAAAACCCTTCTCCAACGATTCAGTAAAGTTCCATTTTTTTGTCAAACAAAGTTATTATAATCTCCAACTCACTTCTCAAGATTAATAAAATGATTTTGAATGAACAGTGTATGATAGATACATGTTGCTTTTAAAGGATGTAATATTATTATTAATGTTATTTTATAATTGGTAAAGATATAAGACTTTCGAGTATTTAGTTTATTTGATTAAATGATGATACCTGTATGACCTGCAGCTATGAAATTAAAAAGTACTTTCTCCTTGGAAAGAAAACTACAACAAAACTAGACAGTGTATTAAAGTAGAAACATCAGTTTTCTGACAAAGGTACATATAGTCAAAGCTATGGTTTTTCCAGTAGTGATGTATGGATGTGAGAGTTGGACCATAAAGAAGGCTAAGTGCCAAAGAATTGATGCTTTCAAACTGGTGCTGGATAAGACTCTTGAGAGTCCCTTGGACTACAAGGAGATCAAACCAACAATCCTAAGGGAAATCAGTCCTGAATATTCATTGGAAGGACTGATGCTGAAGCTGAAGCACCAATTCTCTAGCCACCTGATGTGAAGGGCCAACTGATTAGAAGAGATCCTGATGCTGGGACAGATTGAAGGCAAAAGGAGAAGGGGGTGATAGAAGATGAGATGGTTGGATGGCATCACCAACTCAATGGACATAAGTTTGAGCAAACTCAGGGAGATAGTGAAGGACAGGGGAGCCTGGCATGCTGCAATCCATGGAATTGCAAAGAGTTGGACATAACTTAGTGATTGAACAAGAAACTGGTATGATCATGGCCCAGGTTTGGATTTCTGTTCCAAACATGTTTTTAGTTTTTCCCAGAGCACCCATCTTGTTCCAAAGACAGCTTTCTCAGCCTACTAATGTGATTGGATAGGTGACCTTTGTATGGAAAAGCATAGTGTTATAGACTGCACAAACCTTTGACATCATCTAGTCCTAATTCCTTCATTTGAAGTTGAGGAAATTAAGCCTCAAGAGCATAAATGGGTTTGCCCAAAGTCACCCAGTTAGTGCCAGTGTCAGCATTAAAATCTGAATTTATTGACAAATCCAGTGTTGTACCTATGGTATTAGGATATACCCATTCTGGTCTAGAATTCCCCTCTAAAATTTTGGGGTACTTGGATTGAACACAAATCCCTAGTAAGCCAGGACCCAACGAAGTACAGTACAATCTTTGGTGCTTCCTGGTATTTGACTAGAGACTTGTGGATGTTTGTTGCAATTCTCCAGGAGTACCACCCTTCTCTAGGCAGATGGCCAAAACCCATCACATCAGTCTGCCTTGTCCTCAGACAGACTGGCAATGCAGGAACCTGCAGGGCAACTGTGAACAACATTCTTGAGACCAAAGGAAGCCAGCTGCTCTGACTGCAGCTGGTGATCACCAGGGCCCATCCTAATGAGGCTGATAGGGTTTCTGCCCTGGTGACTGTCCCACTGGCTGCATTCACAGATTAGGTCCATCAGTCACCTCCAGTTATTCAGCCGTGTTCTTTGGAGGACCAGCAGTGCAGAGCGTTATAAATCTCTTTGTAATGTAGGCAGAAGTTTGGCCGTGAGTTATAATCTTCCCAGGCACAGTTTACAGGAAGGGATTCCCTGGCTGGACTTCTTGGAGACAGCCAGTGAAGTGTCCTTTTTATGAAAACTAGAGCCCTCATGATGTGGACTCACTATCATGGTTTTCAAGAGAAAGTGGAAAATGCATCTTCATGTCCTTCTCAGCCCTGGGATTTTCCTTTAAAATAATATTTATTATATATTTTTTCAGATTATAAAATTAATACATGTCTATTATGGAAAATGCAGAAGATTACCAAGAAAATGAGAAGTATTCATATTTCCATTATGATGGGGAGTACTCATATTTCCAATCTGATGGGATTTACCTCCAAAGTTTAGTTCAGTTTTTCCAGTCTGTTTTTTAGTCACATATAGAAGTATATACTTAGTTTTTTAAATGAAACTGTTATCCTATCCTGAAGTTCTAGATTCTATAAAACATGCAGAACTAAATACAGTTAATTTCCTTGCTCAAAGCCTTGAATGGATAGTTGCTCCATAAACATGCTAACTGAGTGAAAAGGGGAACCATGGTTTTTTGACTCGATTAGACTTGTTGAAGATCTCACACTCAGACCATGTCTGAATCTTTTTTAACTTTTATATTTTATTGAAGTATGGGTGGCTCAGATGGCAAAGAATCTGCCTGCAATGCAGGAGACCTGGGTTCAATCTCTGGGTTAGGAAGATCCCTAGGGGAAGGGAATGTTCCACTCCAGTGTTCTTGCCTGGAAAATCCCATAGACAGAGGAGCCTGGCAAGCTACAGTCCATGGGGTCACAAAAAGTCGGACGCGACTGAGCGACTAACACACACACATGTGCATGTACACACACACACACAGTTGATTTACAATGTTGTGTTAATTCTTGCTGTACTGCAAGTTGACTCAGTTACACACACATATATATACATATATATATATATTCTTTTATATATTATTTTCCACTATGGTTTACCCCAGGTCCCTGAATATAGTTCCCCGTGTTATGCATTAGGACCTTGTTTGTCTATTTTCTGTTCTATATGTAATAGTTTGCATCTACCAACTCCACTCATCCCCCATGACCCTCCTTCTCAGTTGTCAGCTACAAGTCTGTTCTCTATGCCTGTGCATCTGTTTCAACTTCATAGATACCTTCAATTGTGTCATATTTTAGATTGTGCATATATGTGATATCATATAGCATTTGTCTTTCTCTCTCTGACATACTTCACTTAGTATGAGACTCTTTAGTTGCATCCCTGTTGCTGCAAATGGCATTATTTCACTCTCTTTTATGCTTCAGTAATATTCCATTGTATATATGTACCACTTCTTATCCATTCATTTGTCAAAGGACAGTTAGGTTGCTTCCATGTCTTGGGCATTGTAAATAGAGCTGCTATGAACATAGGAGTGTGTATATCGTTTAGAATTAAGAGTTTTCTCCTGGATATATGCCCAGAAGTGGAATTGTCTTGGCTATTATGAATGCCTGAGTCTTGACAACAATCTTCACATGCTGAAGAAACATAATAAACTAGAAACTTCTTTCAAAAACCACTACAATATTTAAAGTAATTTAAAGTTTACTTTAAATTTTTCATTTACTTTCATTTAAAGTAAATGAAAAAAAAAAAAAAAGAACATGTTCCCTCCCCAGCGGAGTATCAGTAGTCAATTATCTCCATTTTTTCGTGCTCATTATTTCAGGAGATTCCGTTTGATGAGAGAGCTGCACATACAGGAGACTTGCGGGAACCATGGACCTTAGTGAAAAATGGCCTTTGGAGGAAGGAACCTGGCTGTCTCACGCTGGAGTTCATCATTTTGCCAACACCAGAGGGGGTATGGCTGCTTTTGCTGTCCCAGATACACACGGTCCTCTTCAACTCATGCACTCACTGGGTCAACCCAGCTGTTCACAGTATGTGCCAAGCGCTATCTGCCTTTTCAAAAGCAGCTGGGTGGAGAGGCGAAGGCATGGACTTTGGAGTCAGACAGACCCAGGTTCAGATACGGAATTTTCTCTTTATATGCTATGGGGCCTTAAGAAAATCTGTTTCCTCAGCCTTAACATGAGAGTAAGAATGCCTACTTGGAGGTTTGCGATGAGCACCGTTAAGTAATGTAAGCTGTCATTGACTGAGCCCTTGACCTAGCTGGCTGGGAAGATGGTCACACAGCTTTGAGCACCTAACATGCCAAGCACTATTTTCTTTCCTGTCTCCCATCTCCTCCTCTTTCATCTTCTCTCCACAGCCCTGCAAAGATTAAGACTGGGAATAATGCAACCAGTATAACCAAAATAGATGGGCTCACCTACCTTCTATGTCCACATCCTAGCAGCTGATTAACGCAACTCAGTGTTAAGTTTGGGACATTGTTACTGTCCTGGTATGGAGCATACAGGAGTCAAAATCATACCCCTGACACAGGGAAGTGGTCCTCTGTCAGGTCCAAGGTCTGCCCCATTCCTGTCCCCCAGATCTAATGGGGACCCACTTTGGTAGGAGCTAATCTATGGATGGGGAAACAGAGGCCACTGAAGTTAATGCATTCACACGATGTTTTTAGAAATGGTATGCCTCTCATGTGCTGTTGTTTATTCATTCACTCAATTAATTTTGAGCAGCTACCATGTGCCAAGCACTGGGAATATAAGAAAGAGAGTAAGATAGGCACAGAGATCACCAGACTACACTCTCTACTGTGCCCCATCTCTAAAATGCGGTAACTAAGACAGCAATAAGCATTTGCTTAGCTTTTGCATTGCATCAGGGTATATCTTCCAACCAAGACAACTACACACAATGGGAGTTTCCCCAAAGGGAAGCTTTAGGTTGTGAGAGAAGAAACTTGGATGCAGTCCAGACAAAAACCAATCACTGTTCACTCCTACGCCCTGTCACACTGCCACCTGAGCCACTTTTTAGAGGTGCTTAAGCCATGTCACCTTACAGCCCATGGCACAAAGTTGAACCTCCTCAGCTCCATACACAGCCTTCCTTTCCTGGTCTGACCTCTGCCTGCCTCTCTAGACTCATCTCCTGCTGCTCCTCACTAAACACGAAGCCCTTCCTCATCACTGTATCTACTTCCCCCTGGATCCCTGAGTACCTCATGCCCTCACACACCTGTGAGCCTCTGCAAAGACTGTCATTAGTATGTACCTTCTACCCAGCCAGGTCCTGCTCATCTCTGAAGCTCCAGCTTCAGTCGTCTCTTCACCCATCCACCCCCATCCTAATCTGAATGAGGAGTCCGTCCTCAGAGCTGCCACAGAACTGGCAGCTTTCCATGTCACAGAGTTGCTACACTGTATTTTCACTGCCTGCATCCTAGATGACCTGTGGGCCTCTCAGGGGCAGACGTCTTGTTTTATTTGCCTTTGCATCCCTTCCACAAGCAGCCTGGCAAATACTTGATACATACTTGGTGGCTGGCTGGCTGGGTGGCTTGATGAATGAATGGATGTATGAATGAATGATGGCTGAGACCAGGTCCTCTGCATATTTCTGGGGTCACTGAGAACGTTTATTGACCGTGGCAGCCCGATGCACTGCACAACTGCTTCTGGCATCACTTCACCTTGCTTTCGGCGCACCTAGAGCATTTTGCTCAGCGACCCCTTTGTTCATCAAAGCTGGATGGCATAAGAGAGAATTAAATAGGTATGGTTTGTCTTCATCATCTATCATAGAAGTTTAGAGCAGAAAGAAGCCTCAGGGGTCACAGTGACAAAGGGGTGGCTAGAAATTCTACTGTGAGCAGTTCCAAGCATTACCACACATCTCCTTCAGTTCACCACATCATGTATCTACAGTCTTTGGAGACACAGTTGGCATGTAGGAAGGGGAACCAGCCCTGTGTCTATATCTGCCTGACAGAGAGGCACTGCTCTTGGGTAAGTGATGAGCCTCTGGAGCTGATGGAAAAACTTGGCTTGGATGGGTAGATGATACTGTTATCAGGCCCCAGTTCAGACAGTCAGTCTGTGATGTTGGAGGTGTCCAGACAGAGTGTGGTTGTGTTGTCATGTGGGGGTGAAGCACCCTCACAAGGAAGCAGTATGCTGAAATGTGAAAGTCCTCATGAGCGGCTGGATTAGGGTGGTTCTCAGGCTGGATTAAGCTGGGCTTCCCTGGTAGCTCAGTTGGTAAAGAATCTGCCTGCAGTGCAGGAGACCCGTGTTCCATCCTTGGATTGGGAAGATCTCCTGGAGAAGGAAATGGCAATCCACTTAAGTATTCTTGCCTGGAAAGTCCTATAGATAGAGGAACCTGGTGGGCTACAGTCCATGGCATCTCAAGAGTTGGACAAGACTTAACAACTAAACCACCACCACCACCAGAGGCCTAGGCCAGGGTTCAGGGGAAGGATGCAGGTCCTAAGAGGACTAGGTAGGGTGGCAAAATGGAAATATGGTGAAATGTTGAAATGAGGTGAGGAAACTCACCTCAGAAACACTCAGAAACAAGCAAACTTGCACAGTGGGAGACTTCTGTGCCGGACTTAAGTGAACTGGATGAATTATAAAAAAAAATATTTGTAATCCCTCATTAGATAGATACCTTACACCGGACATGACACTACACCTTTTTTTTTTAGTATAGATAAAGACCATCACTATTCATTCTCACAACAACCTTATTCTCCTTTTATGAATGAAAAAAATTGAGCCTGAAGCTGCTGGGAAACTTGCTCAAGGTCATGGGCAATGTGGGGATCTGAACGGAGGTCTGCCTAACACTTAGCTGTGTCAACATATTGCTTGACGATTCACTCTCCAAAACTAGCTGCTCTGCCTTCTCAACTAAAGGCTCTGGGGGCCCAGTTACAGACTTTTTTTTTTTTGCTGCTTATTTTGTTGTCACAGTAGAAAAGAGAACTAGCTCTTAACAAGGCCAGAAAATCAACAGTGCTGTCGCAATGTGTGGATTACCATCCAAGAGCCACCGATGGCCACCTCAGCTAATGCGTTGCCAAGGCCTCGATCCACCTGCTTTGGACCATCTTCCCTCCACCCCCTACCCCATGTCCCCCCTCTCCCAACACTGGCCGGTGCCAGCTGCTCCATCTCGGAGGCTCACTGTGGGCTAATGGGGTTTACATTTCTAGCGAGCTACCAGGGAAAGTCCTGAAAGTGTCCAGGCCTTGAAATCTTATTCTTGGCTTCACAGAGTCCTTTGAGAGCCATGTTATCTGCCAGGGAGGCTCAGTCATCCTGGTGAGTCATGGGCCTGGAGGCAAGGCCAGTTCCATGAAACATCTGGGCATCTCGGTTGCCATGAGGGTGGGTCAACCTCCCGGAAAGCTGGTTAAGAGCCCAGGATGTCTGGGGGAGATACAGAATTTCTCCATGAAAGTCCCTCTGCCACTCCCAATGCCTACACTCTTAAAATCCCCTCAAGGGCCTGGGCTGGTGGTTAAGCAAGTTTATTTTAAGGCCTGGAACACATTTTCCAAATGAAATCAAATGCAAGGCCTGACACAGAAAACAGAAGGGGGCCAGAGCCCTGGTTCTGACCGGCGCGCTGCAGGCTCCCCTGATTCACCAGCTGCCCCGTCAGACATGTGGGGATTTGGCGCAGGAGGGGAGGTGTCCACAGCCTGTCTCCATGAATCTATAAAACACATCTTCCTGTTATACATGTGCTCACTCAGCTGTTTGGGAACCCTGATGTCATTCCCTCTCCCCAGGGGACCCAACCTGCTTAAACTTATCATCAGGGAAGAGGCAGGAAGTGTGGGAAACATAACCTGGCAGCCGGAGCCAGGTGTGTCTAGAAATTCACTGGCGCTGTTTCCCACTCTGGTTATAAAAACAGGAAGGGGCGGACTTCCCTCCTGCAGGGAGGAAGGACATTTTTCCGAGTGTTTGGTTTGGGTGCCAAGCACTGCTGTGGACATTATTTCATTTTGTTCACATCCTCCCTGAAATCTCTTCAAGCAGTTATTATTACCCCCATTTTGCAGATGAGGAAACTGAGGCTTGTGAAGACACAAATACAAAGTCCAGCCTGTACGGCAAACGACACGAGTGCTTACAGTCACACTTAGGTCTTTGTTCTCCAGGGCTCTGCTCCATCCAGTTCACTTCCCTGTCAGTTTCAAGGGGGCAGCATCACCTTTCTAGGAAGCTTGATCCTTTGTGTCTATCTGTGTCTGTTTCTTAAACAACAAAAATTATTATTTGCTTACTTTTGCTGTGTTGGCTTTTTGTTGCTGTGTGCGGGCTTTCTGCAGCTGCAGTGAGCAGGGACCACTCTCCAGCAGCAGTCCGTGGGCTTCTCATTGCGGTGGCCTCTCTTGTTGCAGAGCATGGGCTCTAGGGCATGTGGGCTCAGTAGCTGTGGCCCACCAGCTCAGCTGCCCTGCAGCACATGGCGTCTTCTTGGATGAGGGATCGAACCAAATGATTAATTCCAATAAGCAATGCTCTGAATTAGACCACCTGAAGGCAGCACTCTGCAAAACACGCCCAGGAGGATTCTGCCTGCTTTCTCTAGTTTGGGTGAGTGGGGCTGCTTTCTAATGGCAGGGTGAGCACTTCTCACGGTGGTAGTGTGGGCACGTGGGCTTAGTTGGCCTCCGGAATCTTCCTGGATCAGGGATCGAACTCGTGTCTCCTGCGTTGGCAACTGGATTCCTAACTGCTGGGCCACCAAGGAAGTCCTATTTCTTTTTTTTTTTTAATTATTTTATTTTATAAAATTAAAATTGAGTATATGTTGGGTATAGTTGAGCTTTGTGTCTGTTTCTCTTGCATACAGGGTGGTAAAAAGATTGATACAACATAATCTGTCATCCCTGGTCTCCTATTGGCATTTGTTTTAACAAGTTTC